GGACTATAGGTGTCTGCTGCAACACCCAGCTATTTTTAGAGATGGGGTTTTGCTCTGGCTTAGGCTGGTCCCAAACCTGTGAGCTTAGGCAATCCATCCACCTTGGCCTCCCAAAGTGCTAGAATTATAGGCATGAGCCACCATACCTGACCTATAGGTTACACTTTAGTGGGAGGAAAGAGATAATGAGCAAGATAAATAAGTAAAATATACAGTAGATAAATGGTCGGGTGGGGGGGAATAAGGCAAGGAAGGAATATAGGAATATAGGAAATATTATTAGGAGGCTTGGGAAAGAGTCGCTGAGAATCAGAGCAGGGCTGGGTGTGGGGCCTCACCCCTTAATCCTAGCAATTTGGGAGGCTAAGGGTGGAGGACTGCTTGAGGCCAGAGTTCAAGGCTGAGTTTATGCCACTGCATTCCAGTCCGGGTGACAGAGTGAGACACTCAAATAAAACAAAACACAGCTAGCGTGAACCCTAACTGGGATTAGAGAGCCTTCTATGGGGCCATGGAAAGCTGTCTGGGGACCTCGAAACCTGTCTGGGGCCAAGCCATTGGAGGCAGAGAGAGCAAGAAGTGCAAAGTATCAGAGCCAGGAGTGTGACTGGGAGTTGGAGGACCAGCAAGGAGCCCACCACGGCTAAAGCTAAGTGAACCAGAAGCCAGGAGGAGGAAATGAGTCCAGGCAGCCAGGTCATTAAGAGTCCCATTGGCCACTCTAAGGATTGTGGCTTTGCCCAGAGCAATGAAAGCCACTGGAGGGTATGAACCCAAGAACAGTGGGGTAGAAGTGGACGGGCCTTCCAGTGCACATTAGCATGAGCGGAGGTGAGGAAGCAGAGGGAAGGCACAGGATGAGGCAGACCCTTAAGAACCATGTTGCACAGCAGGAGGTGAGTAGTGGGTGAGCAAACGAAGCTTCATCTGTATTTACAGCCACTCCTCATCACTGGCATTGCTGCCTGAACTCTGCCAAATGGCATTGCTGCCTGAACTCTGCCAAAAAGGTTGAGGACCTCGGGTTTAACAAATACAGAGTTTCACTTTTGCAAGATCAAAAGGTCCTGAAGATTGCATAGCAAGGTGAATGTACTTAACAGTTTGGCCTTTATGCTAAAAAAACATGGGACATCAGTGAAAGGTTTTGGCCTTGGATTAACTTACTTAATTTTTAGCTGTGGTGAAATACACATAGCACAAAATGTACCTTTTCACCATTTTTAAATGTTCAGCAGTATTAAGTACATTCACCTTGTTATGCAATCTCTAGGACCTTTTCATCTTACAAAAGCGAAACTCTGTTATTTGTTAAACCCGAGGTCCTCAACCTTTTTGGCATCAGGGAGCAGTCTCATGAAAAACACCTTTTCCACGATGGGACTGATGGGATAGGAGGCAGAGTTCAGGCAGCCACGCCAGTGATGAGGAGTGGCTGTAAACACAGATGAAGCTTCACTTGCTCGTCCACCATTCACCTCCTGCTGTGTGACATGGTTCCTGACAGGCCACAGACTGGACTGGTAAAGCCTGCAGCTCAGGAATTGAGGACCACAGTGTTAAACAATAACTCCCTATTCCCCCAGCCCTTGGCAACCACCATACTATTTCCTGTTCTTAGGAACCTGACTACACTAGTGGCCACTTCTCTTACAAAGAAAAGGAATTTATAGGCCAGGCATGGTGGCTCACACCTATAATCCTAGCCCTCTGGGAGGTCGAAATGGATGAATTGCCTGAGCTCAGGAATTTGAGATCAGCCTGAGCAAGAGCAAGACCTTGTCTCTACTAAAAATAGAAAAAACTAGCTGGGCATTGTGGTGGGCGTCTATAGTCCCAGCTATTTGGGAAGCTGAGGCAAGAGGATCACTTGAAACTAGAAGTTTGAGGTTGCTGTGAGCTCTGATGCCACAGCACTCTACTCTAGGGTGACAGAATGAGACTATGTCTCAAAAAAAAAAAAAATGGAAGGAAGGAAAGAAGAAAGAAAGAAAGAGAGAAAGAAAATGAATTCTTACCTTACAGTTCTGGAGGCTGGGAAGTCCAAGGTTGAGGGGGGCACATCGGTGGAGGATCTTCTAGCTGGTAGGGACTCTGCAGAGTCCTGAGGCTGTCCAGGACATTGCATGGTGAGGGGGCTAAGCGTACTAGTTCAGGTCTCTTTTCTTTCTTTCTTTTCCTCTTTTTTTTTTTTTTTTTTTGCAGTTTTTTGGCTGGGGCTGGGCTCGAACCCACCACCTCCACCGTACGGGGCCAGTGCCCTACTCCTTTGAGCCATAGGCATCATCCTTTTCTCTCTCTCTCTCTCTCTCTCTCTCTTTTTTTGTAGAGACATAGTCTCACTTTATTGCCCTCGGTGGAGTGCTGTGGCATCACACAGCTCAC